TAAATGATCCTGTCGTTAACCCTTTACTCGTAATTAGGAGATTATTTGAGAAAAAGTTTAGCGCGATGTTTTAGTTTCAGAAAAATAATGTGACGGACGAACTTACAATCCGTGGACACCTGCAACCAACTCCAAACAAAGAAGGTTGCGGATTCGTTATCACCTACGAGGTTTAAGATGGAATGCCTCACAGCCTCTAAGTATACAGGCTCTGCATACTGAACAATAGGTAAGAGAGTGATGGCTACTCAGTCGGTGTTTTAGGCAAAAAAAGTCCTACCACCTACGTTAACTTTGATATTAATGAGGGTTTCTATATTCCCTAGCCGTTGTACAGTGTAGTAAAGTGCTTGTAAAACCCTTTCGTTATAACAAATAGTAGTTCCACAACTTACGAGCCAATTAAAGTTGTTTCATTTTAAGTGAATTTCAAGATGCTGAACGAATAGTTTGTAATATAAACTGTTCCTACTTTTTGTTTTTCGCGTAGTAGAGCCATGTTATATTATAGTTGTAGCACGAATAGTACGGATCGACCGGGGAAAGACCACACTCTCACAGAATATACATGGTAAAGCTACTGCCAGCAGCTTAATAATGCTGTGTTTCGTATGGTGAGTATAGAGATCCGGAGACCCTTTTTTATTAAAAACGAGGCATTCCATCTTACGCCTCAGCGATGACAACGCATCGACGTTTTGATTATTAATCGAGGATAAATGTAGATATCTATGGTCTATAGCATCCACTCACCATCAGGTGGACTTTATGCTCGTTTGTCACCCTTATTCTATAAAAAATAACAGCATAAAATAGCAGCTAAATGCTACTGTGTTTCGTATAACGAGTATTAGGAACCGTACACCGTTTCAACTAGATACTAGGCATTCATTCATTCATCTTAGTTTTCAGGAGTGACAACGCATCCGCATTTTGATTCTTGAACGAGGATAAATGTAAATGTCTACGGGCTACAGCCTACAGCATCCACTTACCATCAGATGGCCTACTATACAGGGTATCAAACGCGCAGGCCTGTACATTCTGTAAAAAAACTCAACTGCATTTAAGCATAGAGGTAGGATTGCCGGTGACTGTTCTTGACTACTCGCACTCGCACATCGGATACATACAACATGATTAAACTGATAATATAGATATTATCTTAAGGAGATCGTGACATCTTTCCGGTATTTCTATAGTTTCCTCTTATGACGCCCACTGGACGATGTGAGCCATTGAGATTTAAGTATATCCTTAACACTACGGAACTGCGTAAAAATAATTACGAATGGAGTAAATTTTGTAACCAATATGTTATATTGTTAAGTTAATATTTTTGTTTGCAAAACAGTGAGTGGAGCAGTGATAGCTCAGGTTAAGTGTTTACTGTAAATTTCGTAGTTGGTACCTACTCGAGCACTCGGATACTATCCCCGCCGGTGCCGATAAAATTAAGTGCTGATACACCATGTGCACAGCGGCGAAGGAAACCTCGCGAGGAAACCCACATGTCATCCATCACGGCTTCATATTATGATTTACTCGAATCAGTTAATATTCGCTAGTCTGTGTCTCTTTTATAGAAGGGGGACAAACAAGCTCGTGTTTCAACTTAAAGTAAGTCTCGAGTGCCTTTTAAAAAGAATCAAGCTCGTTTCTTGAAGGTCCTTAAGTCGTATCTATCCGCGATTCCACAAAGAAGTCTTGCGAAGAAGTAAACTGCTAATAAGTAAAACGCACAGTAGCAGGCCGCCAAGCATCTAGATGGTATGGATGATATCGTAAGTTTTGTGGCAGATTTTGTGGGTAAGTCGCTAGTTAGTAATAAATATCAGATATACTCAAAGTCAAAGCAACAGCTAAAACATTTTTATTCAAAATTGGTCTTTAGAGAATCATTTTTGAAAGACAAGAAAGCAATGCCATCGCTTCAACAAGTTCCTGTTGTGCGAGACCATGAGAGAATAGCGGTAACGAACAAGTAATTAAACTTATGAACTATATACATGAGTAAAGTAAGCCTAAGGGAGCTCATTATGTCCACACATTCTTATTTATAATATCCCTTTTTGTTCGTACTCTTAAGTTATCATTTTTCATTTCGAAAATTGCATTTAAAGAATCTACAAACATAGCAATCTTGTATTACTTAAGTTAATGAAATAAAGGTTTTATGTTTTAATTTTTTTGATTTAATGTAATCATGTCATAGTTTTTCAATAAATAACTTAATAAAAATTCTTTTTACATGCGCTTTGAATTTATGCAAATATTTCCTTTATGCATTACCTTATTTAAGATGTAGACTAGGAATACCTTTATGATCTAACAGAGACGTGTCCCTGCCCCTCTCCACAACGCGCGCAGGCGGGGGCTGCGCAAGCGCACGGTGCGCGAGGCCAGTCACGTCGCCGCACTATTTTTACCATCCAATGACATCTTGGTGACGAGACGATTTAAACCATTAAATATGGCGTGCGTCCAAAATTTCCGTACCTACGGATATTTTAAAATGTGACAACAATACTTACTTAATAATATAGTTGATAGAATCAGGCGTTACTTCGCGGAAATCCATCAAATATGTTACACATTTATTGGCTAATATCCCCGTAATAAACTAAAATAACGTGTTTACCTATTGTATGAGGACGATTCCCAACCTCACTAATACAAACACCACTAGCTACATACACCACCGTCGATAATAGGTAGGTATGACAAGTGTCCCCTAATTGGCATCATCAGGTGAAATAGACTATGTGATCGCTGACCCCTAAGTGAGATGGTGTGCCATTCATAGGGTTTTGGTGTTGGGAGTAGTGGTGTTTCGATTAGAGGTGACGGTGATTGCGCAGGTAACTGAGGGCGGGAGGTGCTCACCACACCAGGTGAGACACATTATTTTATGTTATTACGCGGTTCTTAGCTAATTAATTTAACATGTTTAACTCAATATCTTTCAGTACCAATTTTTTCTCGTATTTAAAAAGTAGTTTTCAGTTTACAAAAAAATGGGCTGCTTAACAAAATCTCTATCTCAAAAAATGTATTTAAATATCCAAATTAAAAATGTAATTAAAGATCAGAAAGCAAATGATACTGGCATAATGCTAATTGGAAGTAGGTAGACTAGGCATTCAATCATCGACACGATAGAAAATGATAAGTTAATAAAAATATTTGAAAAAGAATTCGGTCGTACACTCTGAACAAATAAACCATTAGAGACACAGCCAGCAATCCATAAGGCCGGGACTCGAGGATAGTATTAATTTGACAGATACCGCTCATCCGTACTAACAGCAGGTGTTCCTAAATTGTTCGTGATAAATACACGCCATCAATATTGGAACGAGACGGCCACCCTTTCACGGTTTATAACATAACACGTAATTGTGGCCACGGTGTTTTTTTCCGTAACACTTATTAGAGTCGACCGATTACATGGATACGAAGTAGACCATGACGGAAGGACATAAACGCCTTAAGAAATCGTCCACGGACTAGGGTGTCTTGTAGCGAAGTAGGAAGAGAACGCTGATTAAAATCCGATTTTTGGGGTAGATAACGCTAATAATATTATTAAGCAGTGTTATCGCCAAAATGTGAAGTAGGTGAATACGCTTTATTAAAGCTTAGCTATATTTCAAGCAATAAAATAGATAGGCATCTAACTATAATCTTTAATTAAGAACGGAGTTTATCTTAGAAATAAAGCTAAAAGTCGTAAAATTGTGGTTGACGGAAAGATTTAAAATTGATTCGATATTAGGTTATAGAACTGCAGATGTCAGAATTAAATGTGAAGATGATAACTTTATTACAATATTAGATGTGACAAATATATACGAAAATTAACTCCTACGTATTATTAATAGAAATTCAAAGTGATGCTAAGCCCAGCATTTATTTGCACTTGACACCATAATGTTTTATATTTATAAGCGACGAAGAAAAACCTGAAATATAAAAGCAAACAAATCTGAATAGAGTATTTAATAGATTATCAGATCATTACTCGTGATAAGATATCGCAAGTATTTTGTTAGTATATAATATTAATTTTAATATATCAGTAACTAGTCGAAGCAGCAGTCCTACAATATAAAGTGTAAGTCCGGTCGTGCTGGTCGTGGTCGTGTGGTCGGCTGGTGCTGCAAAATGCCACCTAGCGCTTTTGACTCAATAGAAAGACTTGCTAAGAGGCTTATTGATGAGCTGAATTCATTCAAAACCAATCTTACCAGCCTCGAACACAGGCGCAAATTGGCCAGCCTTTCGGTTTTCTACAGGATGCATTACGGATAATGTGCGCAGGAAAAAAATTAAAAAAAGTTAAAATTACAGCCCATATATGTCCCACTGCTGGGCACAGGTCTCTCCTCATTTCTGAGAGGGTGGTGAAGGAAAACATCGTGAGAGAACCCGCACGTCTGATGAATAAGAAAAAAAATATTTCGTAGACATGTGAAATTCGCCAACACGCATTGGAGCAGCATCGCGTACACTTCCTTGCCCTAAAACCCTCTCAGTGCGCAGGAATATCATAATATAATCCTTTCTCTTTCACCATCTGACATACCAGACGTTCTGCCAATCTCCATCCTTTCGTTGTTGACTTATCACGCATTCGAACCAAACGGTTTGCTACATCGTTCATTATGCGTACAGCAAAAGAGTGGTATAAGTTGCCAGCATCTGTGCTACCATGTCATTACAATGTTACCTTCAAGGCAAGCATCTTAGGCTACATAGCCACTTACCATCTGGTGGTATAGTAGTTAAGCGCTGGCTCAGAATAATATAAAAAAGCAATAACGCGTCTAACATCGCATGTAAGACCTCCCCCGAGTTTCACAATCATCAACAAAGTTGGACACTCAGCGCTTAATGTTTCAGTAAATGGCCATATTTCAAGTGTTGTACACATAATAATTTATATCAACGAGATTCTTAATCCGCGGCTATAACCTGACAGTCTAAATAAATTCATCATGCGGGGTCAGAAGGTCGTAAGCACCGCAGCGGTTAGTCGTACTGGCGACGTTTTTCTGCGTGCCGCCGACAGCCATAGATCCCACGCGCCGGCCCGCGCCAAACTGGTAAATCTGCTCTTGCGCAACTCGGAGACTACAGTTGGTTTCCAATTTTATGTTGACCGGTTTCAAAGTTGTCTTAGCCTTCTAATTTCGGCTCGTTTAGATTGGAAAATACACCGCAGTGGAAGATATCGAAATGAAACTGCGGCCAGGTGAGATCGGACCCATCGGTTTCTCTCGCGTTCCCAGTGACATTCTCATAAACATATCTCACAGATACGTCGAGTCATTAATTAATAAGTTTAATCAACTGATCGAGAGTTCGATGTTTGGAAACTCTCACCGCGTTATTTTAACGTTAAAATATCGTCATGGTTTCTTAGATTGCCAGGCTGTATATCACCGTATCTCGGTAAGAGGCATCCATAGCTTTGAAACTAACACGTGAAAATACTTCACTAATGCTTTGAGACGATAGTGATGTCTTAAAAGATTAATTACAAACTATACAAGTGCAAGGTTTTTGTTATCTAGAAAGAGTAAAATATATAAAAGCAATAAAAATATTTAGTCTGGTTCAAACAGCAGTTTGAAAGCAAAGCGATGGGAGGATAATTTTAAGAAAGTAGCAGGCTCAGAATAGTTACGTACATCAAAGGACAGAAATAAGGGGAAAGCCCTTGAGGAGGTCTTTGTCGAAAGACAAACTGTTAAGAGGGGAGACCAACCAAATGTCGAGAATATAATTTAGTTAGCTAAGTCAATTGATTTTTTTCCTCCACTTTTATTTTTTAAATAATTGTTCTATCAAATAAGTAAGAAATTAATAGTAATAAAGGCTTTTTAACTGCACATTGAATATTAATTCTAACTCTAAACAGAGTAATTTCAATCATGTAAACGATACAATAATTATAGTTATAACATTATAGTAGTGGACATATTCCGCGCCTCAACTCATGTATGAGGAGAGTGAACAAGCTGCAGCGGCGAGGGTGTGGGGCGCCGTCAGCGACCCACGTTGTACAAACTCGGGCGGCGGGATGCCGTGCACAAATCAACAGGCCAGCCGCGCTTAGAGGAACCCCCGGAGCCTTGACTTATACAGGGCTACACGTAAGATGAATTTAATTCTTAATTTCTTTCTTATTTATTTCTTTTCGTTTTTTCATAAAAGTTTACTGATCAAATTTCTACCACGCAAAGTGTTAGAAGTTTGCAGTCTGTTTCTTTCTTATCCCAGTGAAGAATAGTTTTTCAAGATCTAGTTTGTAGGGCTTTTGTCTTGAAGTCCGTCTTAATTATTTTAATCTTCAAGCATCAGCGAATCTCGTGTCTTGTATCCATCCGTTTAAAGGTTATAGAAAACTAGCAGCATATATTTTAATTCTCGAAGGTGTAAAGCATTTTTAGCCTTCCTTGTCTGAAGTTTGCTGCAGACATCTCTGCTGTAGGAGGCACTAGGCACTCGTCATTAGTTTCTGTTACCTCGCTTGTCGCTTTTATGTTAAGAAATAAACAAAACACTTGTTATGTGTAGGTTTAAGTTGTAGACATGTTGTTTAACCGCTGCTTGTAAGGTTGTAGGACTCCTTTCCTGCCTCGGTCCGTCTGGGCGGGCACCTCCAAGCAACGGCGGCTCTCCTGCTGCGTCCCGGTCTGAAAGGTGCAGTCACTGGCCGTGAGGCGTCTTAGTCTTCAGAGGTAATGACGAATCTGTAGTCTGTATGGTTGAAGTTATTTGGTGTTCAGCGGCCACGTGCTGGTGGTGGAGGTGAACTGTAAGGTTGTAACTTGTTACGTGGTAGAACCATGCTGCAGCTTTATTGTGGTTGTAGCAGGAATGGGTCGGCTCGACTGGGGTAGGACCACGCTCTAACAGAATACCAGCGTGAAATAGCAGCTTAATGCGGCTGTGTTTCGTGAGTATAGAAAACCGAAAACCCTTTTAACTAGAAACAAGGCATTCCATCGCAGTCCTCAGGGCTGAGAACGCACCTGAATTTTAATTCCTAATTGAAGATGAATGTAGACGTGTATGGGCCACAGCATTCACTTATCATCAGGCGGACTGTGGGCTTTATTCTATAAAAAAGTTTGCTTGTCACTTCTGGTTTAATAAAAAAAAATCTTTTTTTTTCAGCACATAAGAGTCCACCGCTGGACTAAACCGTCCTGCTGCAGCCAGCGCCGGACGCTCCGGGCCGTCGGTCTGGGAATTTTATCACTTACGTAATCGAAATGGTATACCGCCATTCATCGAAATCATAAGAATGTTCTTGATTCTCCCATAGTCGCATCTTACAACACCTACGAACAACATGAATTATATGTAAATAATGATGGATTAACCTACATTATTTATATATAATAAAGAATTATTACAAACCTTTCATACCTTGTATATATTGTAAAAAAAAAAAACAAGCGTGCAGTTCACACGCGGTGGAAGTGAAACCTTCATAAAAAGACGGAGATAATAGGAAATATTTTATCCTATCACATTTTCTCGCACGTCAAATCCTATAGATGTACATATATGTTAATCTCTTTTTATTTCCACTTTTGTTTCATAGAGTTTCAAATCACAACCATTGTAAAGTAGTTTTCACTTCAAAAATAACCTCAAAAACTTTATTGTGTATTGTGTTAACAATTTTTCCTCGCCAGCCCGTTAGGGTGACGCGGTCGCAGCCCTGGCCCCCCGGCGCGAGCGCAGCACCGACACTCGCACCTCCGCGCCCCGTAACGAACAATATAAATGTGCTGTTTGCTGCACCGCTGCGCTGAGCAGACGCTTCAAGATAGTGCCCTGTGCTTCTCGCTGCCTTTCAACGCCGACTTTCATTAGCTTGGCAGTGGCAGGTGCTAATCGTCAAACTACATTAATTTATTAAACAAGGCTCATTATACAAACTCACAATAATTACGTCCGATTTGTTTTTTTTTTCGATACCACTAATACGTAAACTGACGTTTAAAAAATACTACTTCCGTTTTAAACTGTTCAATAATCAAATGCCATGAAACACTATAACGTAAATTCGTTACATCCTATCAAAATAATTTTATAAACGACTGCCAAATTTCGTCGTCCATTAACTTGCATGGAAATTGTCCTTTTGGAAACTTTTTCTCCCGAAGGGCTGTGACAGGACTATTATATTATTAGGATCGTTTTTAGTAATGATAGGGCCGGGGTACGCGACCTCAGAGCGCCTGGAGGGACTAATCGCGAGTCTACAAAAAACTTCGGCCACTTCATTATAGTTATAAGATTGCATTATTAACAGTCCGTTCGGGTCGGTGCAGACAGTTTTGCATTCCTTTACGGTGAGTGGAACAGGACGCGAGCGATGCACTGAAGATGTAGAAACAAATTAACAGTCTTTATTAATATGGCCTTCCATTAAAACAAATGAAAGGGAAAACAAAATGGCACTTGTGATGTCGTCCCCGCCGACAGTAATCGAATCAAAATAAACAGACAATAGTCGCAGCAAAAAATAAAACCGACAATCGGAGACTATGGAATTTGAAAAAAAAAAATTGAGGATTGCATTTTGCAGATACTCTCGCGTGTTACTGCATTATTATTTAGGTTGGGACTTTTAAAAAATGGTTGCGATGGCCGATGGCGTTTTTTTAGAGGCGCGTGCGAAGCACATAATTGGCGCGCCGGACGGGCAGGAGCGCGCGCTTTTTGCGCATCCCGCGTCGCCATTTTATTATTTTACTAACACAACTATTGGCGACAGTAAACTCCACCTACATGTGTGTCTTTTATAACACAGATAACACTTGTGTGAAACTAACCTTGGATTAAAATAAATAATAGTTACTGCTTTTTGTTAAAGCAATATATATTGTAAACACGTTTATAACGTTTTTTTTTAAAATTCTAAATTGCGTTCGTGTAGTTACGTCCGTTCGGGTCGAATTTAGTAATTAACTTTAAACTTCCCGATGAGCTAGTGAAGATAGCTCAGAATCTTATGACATTTTAAAATACATAGATATAAAAACATGGTAGCTACCTATATTAAAAGAAATCATATACAATATTTTAAATGTTTTTACAGTTATTAATTAATAAGTCGATTCAAAATACTGAATAAGATTTTTATATGAAACTACGATAACGTGGTATGCTGGCATTTGGGTACAGGTAAGCAAGGAGTCTGGGAGAAACAGGGCGAGTGTTGCTCGGAGCTATGGTTGACCGACGCGATCTCGTTTATTGTACGCTTCACAAAAGCAATTTAGACGACGAATCTTATATGATAACAGGAATCCCGTTGAACAGCCTCAGGTGGGGCATTGTGCCCTAACTTAATACGCACAACCTTGGAAGGCAAACGATGAGTTCCATTCGTATTTTTAAATACCTTTAAACGACTCCTTAGCTGTCTGACCTTAGCGGGAGAAGATATGCCGGGGGCAGTCCGTCCGTCAAATGTCATTTTGATCGCTCACAATGGAATAGAGTTTGCGAAAATGGTACGCGTGTCACAGCCAAGGCAAGCCCAACAATGGCTTGGAAAAAAAAAAACAATCAAATAGAAATCGAAAACAGAGATTCTTTCGAATGCAGCCGAACGGGATTTTGGGAATCCGGTTTGAATTTTGTTTGGTTTGGTTTACCGCGCGCTGCCTCCTCCGCCGCGTCTATTGTCCAAGTGTCACGCTCCTCAGGGACAAAATAATACTTATCCCGTATTGGGGATCAATAAAAAACTTGCCGCGTTCAAATATAAATGCATATGTAAAGAAAATGTCAAATGTTCAAATGTGCACAGAGAAAGTTTTTTATTGAACGTTAATAATGCTTTGGTGACAAACGAGCACACAGTCTACCTGATGGTAAGTGGATGCTAGGGCCCATAGCCCTACATTTGTTCTATTCTCGAGAAATCATCAAAACGCAGAGGCATTGTCATCTTTGAGGACTAAGATGGAATGTCTGGTTTCCATTAAAAGGATCTCCGGTTCTGTAAGCTCGCTATACGAAATGCAGCAGCATTAAATTGCTCCCGGACAGGCCTACCCATTTATCCTGCAACTATAATATACCTGCAGCACAGTTCTACTGCGTATACCATGTAATCTTAAGGGAACGGCCTATAGTTACCTATATACAATCCACTCCTGGGCGCGCGTCAATTATTTTTTTCTGGGAGGGTTTTAGGACACCCGCGGCCATTTTTCTTACTACCTCAAACGTGCAGGCTCTGCAATTATACGCCATACTGTTTTACTTTTTAGTAAGTGGGATATTTTTTGATGCAAAGTCGAGAACTTTAACCCCATATATTTATTTGCGGGATTACCTTTGTGCTACGTATTAGGGAAATCGATTTTTAAAAGAAATAGTTGACAGGAGGTTGGGTGATGGAACGGAAGAAACAGTTAGAAATATATTTGTATCGCAACCATCAGTCGTGCATGCTGCCGGTTCGTGGAATTTTAAAGATTTTGTATATATTTACAAGAAAAGCTTTAAAATAGCATATAAAATAGCTAAGTATACTTTTTTACATGAAAGCGACAATGTATGGTACCTAAGTGGTTACTGTTGCCTATGGATATTTTATGGTTAACTTCAAAGAACTAGGTACACACACCTTTTAGGACTGTGATGGAATGCTTCACTTATAACTTACAACCGGAACATAACAATGAACGCCATATTGCTCGCAGACAAAAATATGCATGAAGAGGTATTAATACAGGCGGACACCTAGGCTGAGAGAGGTCCAACACCTGGTCCATGATTGTATTATAATAGTTACTATCTCGTTGGTCTAACGGTCGTAAACGTAGACGCTGATCACGAGGTCCCGGGTTTTAATCCCGGGTCGGACCAATAAAAACCATTTATTAAGTTTTTTGTGAAGGAATTGTCAGTAGCAGCCGGGACCCACAGGTCCTGCGGCTGATCTCTCTTCGGTCGTGTCAGATTACCATCTCATTGGACTACGAGAGTCAGGGAGAAGAGAGAGCCGAAAGTATGCGCAACCATAAATGCACTCCGTACTTCTAATCTCCCTTCAGAGAAACCAGGCGGTGGCCAACGGTTTTACGTGTTTTACGAGGCACGGGGAACAAACACCACAAACTTCCAAGTTGCTATGACATAAAACCGCAATAACTAATTTTGGCCCAACTCGGGATTCTAACCCAGGACCTCTTGAACGCACTTAAAACCTCGTTTACGAACAAGGCAGTCATATCAGGAATATGATGATATTTTTTTTTAAATAATTATGTCATTTCTTTATCTTAAAATATTCATTCATATTTTTACTTAGTTATTTTTATACGAGATATTAAAACTATTAATTTTATTATTGTTTAAAGTTAAGAGCATATTTTGTTTAAATATATTATTGTAAATACAGGAAAAAAAAAACTTTTTAGCGGAAGCGACAAATCCCTCGATCGGACAAAGCCGTGGCGCGATGGGGTCGGGGTCAAAGGTCTGTGTCACCATCGTACGTCGGCATGAGGTATTTACTATTGTTCTACTTCTTAGCATTATTTAATTTAACCCAAGGCAACAAAGTATTTCAAAAAAATAGTTTTCAAATTCTTTTTCATTTTTACCAAGCTGAGTTCGGTTCTTCAAATGAATTGAATAGAAAATTATTTGTGGCATAATAAATTATTCAATAAAATAAAAACTTTTTAATTCTAATGAAATAAATTTGAATTTCGATCGTAGCATCAAGGTCGTTGTAGATGGTGCAAGCTCCGATTACAAGCCTATTAATGCTGGTGTTCCACAAGGTGTATCACCAACGTTTTTTCGTCTGCATATCAAAGATATATTGCAAACCGGCAACATTAACTGCTATGCAGATGACAGCACTGGTGATGCTCTGTACACCGGCCGTGCCAATATTTCTCGGGAAAACGTCTCCGAGTGCCGGGACATACTTGTGTCTGAAATCGAGTCTTTGCTGAACAAAGTCTCGGATTGGGGGCGACTAAATCTAGTCCAATTTAACCCTCATACGCCACAAGTTTGCGCGTTAACCGCTAAAAAGAATCCCTTTGTCGTATCTTCTCAGTTTCAAGGCACTCCCTTGTTGCCTCAGCCTGTATCGGAATCCTCGGCTTCGACATATCGAGCGACGTTCAGTTTCGTGGTCACTTGGAACAGAAGGCCAAATTGGCCTTCTGGATACGACCTAGAGACCTTCAAAAAAAGAGCTTACTTCTTCTTAAAGGGCCGGCAACGCACCTGCAATTCCCCTGGTGTTGCGGTTCTTCACGGGCGGTAGTCACTTGACACCAGGTGAGCCGTATGCTCGTTTGCCCCCTCTTCTATAAAAAAATTAATTTAAAATATAGAATTTTCGAAAAGAGGTCAATCTTTTTTTTTGGAATAGATACAAGTGACGCATAATGTTCCATATTAAACTTATAGGTATCCAAATATTACTTCATTGTCAGGTGCTGCTAAAATGGGTATCATTTAATTAGTATGTTTTATATATAATTGGTTTGTGTTACTTTTGTTACGTTATGGGTACAATGGGAATGACATTTATTACGTGGTAGAGCCACGCTACAGCTATAAGTATATCTACTGGTTGTAGCACAAATGGGTCGGCTCGAACGGGGTAGGACGCTCTTACACAATACCAGCGTAAAATAGCAGCTTAATGGTACTGTATTTCCTATGGTGAGAGTAAAAAACCGGATACACTTTTTAATGGAAACGAGGCATTTCATCTCAGTCCTCAGGGGTGACAACCATCTGCATTTTGATTCTAATTGAGGATTAATGTAGTCTATGGGCCACAGCATCCACTTACCATCAAGTGGACTGTTATTCTATGAAATATGGTAAAAATAACAAAGTCCCTTAATTAATTAATAATAAAAAATATTTTCATATTATTTTCACAAGTATGAAGTTCCTCGCAAGTAGAGCCTATCTTGAGATGCTTCCGTTACTTTTGTATTTCGACGCCATTCGCAAAATGAACAATGTAAAACAAAAGTGGTAGCGAGGTACTCGATCGTGTGTGTAGTCGAGTGGAACAATGGCAGTGGAGGTGGACAGAGGTGGGGGTCAGGCGTCCGGCGCGCGTCACGCCTCACGCACGCCCGCGCAACCGCACGCTCGGGGAAACGCCCGTCAAGATTTCCGCCTTGATACATATAAACACACTCACTAGTTTCCTATTCGTTTTTATAGAATAAGGATGACAAACGAGCGCATAGTCCCATGATGGTAAGTGGATTAACCCTGAGGTTTAAGATGGTATATCGATGAGGATAACTCAAAACAATAAAAAAAAAACTAGTATGACTCGTGCCAGTAAAAAAGATGTATTCTGTGAGAGCGTAGTCCTACCTCGGTCAAGCCAACCCATTCGTACTACAACCATAATTTAGCAGCACCGTTGCTCTACCTCGTTAGGAAGCTTTCCAACAATATTTACCTTATGATCATGAAATTCTCTTATAGAGAATCGGTTATCCATATAAAAACATTCGGTAACGTTTTGTCAACTAAAATCTTAAGTAATCCTGCAAAAAAGTGACAAAAAATGTCCCTGGCTTCAACAAAACATTACCGCAACACCACAAAAAAGCAAAGAAGGTGAGAAAATCCGCTAATTAGCACGTCGGTAGAGCGCCCTATAGGTGGCAAAATTGTTCCAGCCATTGTCGCTCCTGCCTTTATGAAAGTATAATTAGCCTTTGTTCAGGTGTAATATTTTTTGAGTCAAATCCATAGAGACGATTTGTATTCAGTTGCAAATCGGGGAAGCCCGTGTTTACGTCCCGATGAACACTAATCATTGTACAAACATTTTCGAACGTTTCTCGTTACCACAGTGTACTTGGTCATGGTTTTTAATTGATCCATATTCTTGAGAAACGTTGCATTATTTTTAACAGTTAATAAAACTTAACGATACTGTTAAAATGTAAATAACGGCGCTTCGTTTGTGAAAAAAATTTTTGCAAAGATTGTGGTCCCTTTTGTGAGCGAGCACGTGCTGGAGCTCGTGAAGCTTGTATAATTAATTCGAGAGACTGACAGCGAGCGGATACCTGCGCCCGCTTCTATTGCAAACAATCCGGCGCATGCGACTGACGCTCAGGTGTATAATCTTTATTTATATTTTTTGCCTTCACTTCCCCTTTGCATAAATTAACATTTTCGCAATTGTTACAAGCGGTTTAACTTCAAACTAATTATTTTCTTGTTGATAAATTCATTCTAACGGATAGTATACTCTGAATTTAATTTTGAATTTTAAAATTATGTGTTGTTATTTTCATATCGAGCTATTGCACATATCCCGCTGCAATTGAAGCGCGTCCTTAGCGTTTATTATTCTTATTTTTGGAACTAGTTACAGATCAATGAGCACTTTGTTATCTATTGCAATCATCTTACCGACGTGTTTGTTGTATTCCAAAATGCTCCATAAATGTACAGCATTCAGTTCAATTTTATCGTATCCAAAATTATCTAAGCAATCGAAGTGAATTTATTCGTCAAACAAGATTCTACTTTAAGCTTTTGTGAAATAAGGGTTACTTTTTATTAGCAGGACAGGATTTTTCTCACCTGGCCGAGCGGGCCGGCAGCTGGGCTTGTCTCGACTCATCACTTGACTTGGGAGAAAGGGATGCGGCGCCCATGTGAACCCACTAACAGAATCCTGGGAATGGATGCTCCTGCACAGATAATAGTTTACGTGTTTGTTGCAAGGACAATAGTAATGTGATATTTTTAAAGAAATTTTGTACAAGCGAAATTTGCTTTACGTAAATAATCTCGATACGTTATATTTCATTAATTAATAAAACCACATAAGAGCTAATAACTTATCTACTGATTTAACAACATTAAAAACAAAGAAATTTATAACGATTTCTTTTAGTTATGCGTTATTCCTGCACTAAATGACATCATAGTATCGTCTGAAGTAATTACCTACCAAAATAAATTTATTCTTTTTCAACACTAATGATTTCATAATCATTATTTGAAAAAGTATTTCTGATTCTCTTTGGAACTTAATACAAGTGAATGAAAGGTTTCATTAGTATCAGATTACATCTCAACGAAGTTGGCACTAGTTGGTTCTTAATTTTTATAGCAAACATTTGTCAAATGAAAGTTGATAATAAGTGATTTTGACTTGTATTTTAATGTAGTCTTTTCAACATTAGACTTAGATGTACTACAGACTTGTAATCCTTTGCTGAATTATAGTATTAGTAGTATATACTACAACAATAAATAGATGCATAAATTCTATCAACTCAATCAACTATGGGCAATCCAATAGAGGTGGAAATATAGAATATACATCACAGAATTTCCATTTGTGTAATAATTAATATAAGCATAAACTTTAACTAAAATCTTGAATAAGTTTAATTACGAGTATCTTAGGTTTTTTCTGTAAGTTATGATACCTAAGGTAATTTCTTCTATTTATAGTAACAGAATAAAACTAGATATTTTAAAACAAAATGTTGTTTAAGAAGATAAATAATGAGTAAGATAGCTTAGATAATTTTTCTGTAAATTATGATATATATTATCATAAGTTATTAGGCAATTTCCTATGTTTGTATACAAAGAATAAAACAAATTCGTGGTTAATTTTAACTTATAATGATTCTTGACTGATGATAAAAAATGTAATACCCAGATACAGCAGTGATTATGAGTGTTGTTTCTTTTACATAGATCAAATAAATAGAGATATCCTCGTAAAAGAACATATTGCTGATGTTAAACATTATTGCGCCGGCATGTCGACAGTATGCGAGGATATTTACGAAGGCTCCCGCTATTTATACGTGGTAGAGCTATGCTGTAGCTATATTATGGCTGTAGCACGATTGAGTCGGCTCGACCTGGAAAGGAACACGCTCTAACAAAATACCAGCTTAAAATAGCAGTTTAATGCGCTGTGTTTCATATGGTGAGAGAAGAGAACCGGGGCCCCTTTTTACTAAAAACAAGGCATTCAATTTTGGACTATATTGGGGTAACAATGTACCTGCATTTTGATTCCTTCCTAATCGAGAATAGATTCTTAGTTGGTGTAGATGTCCATGAGTCACAGTATCTGATTATCATCAGGTGGAATGTGTGCTCGTTTGTCACCTTTATTCTATGAAAAAATCTTTCAGATATGATAGACCACAATTCCTCAAAAATAACCCGATTTTTGCTATCGCATTATAAATAGAGAAGATGGACGAATGCTACCATCCGTGACCACAGGTCAATTTAAAAATAGTTTGAACGAGACACGTGTAAAATTTAGTTTTATTGATTGTTTAAACAGAATGCTCAAATTTCCAAACATGCTATGCTTGTTCCGTCTACAGCTTCAGAGAGAGCTTCCCTCAAGTTAACAGTGTTTTTAAATAAACACCAAAAGCAAATATAAAAGTTTAATTCCCACTATGTTATGCAAATGGACGGCTTGTCGTCCGTGTTGCTAGCTGTGTTTCTCCGAGCGGTCAAGCTGATGGGAAAAAAAGAAATTACAATAAAAAAGATACGAGTCGACACAACTATCTGTTTAGTGTGTTTGGCGATTTTCTAATAGATCACAAGCATTAATATACTCGGGACTGGTTCTCGTGAGATCCGTTAGTGGTTTTATGTAAATGATTTAGTTTATGGCGGCTTCTAGTTTACATTCGGACGCTTCACCCAAAAATAACTTTACGTACTGTATGCGATAAGATTAACTTATTCGATGCAATTCCGCGTAAGAAAGTGTCATATACTCGTATCTTGGCGTTACAAATTAAACATGTGATTTTATTATATCGTCGTTACCGTTACAAACTATTAGAGTCCACTGCTGAACATAGCCTCCCCCATAGCTTGCCTCATAGAGGGGATAGTTGCCACAGTTTCCACGCTTGGCAAGAGGGTTGGCAACCGCGGTTTTTGATTTCAATCGTTATGAGAGAAACGCCGCTGCCCATCTCGTGGTTTGTTTACATCCGTCCGAGTTAGATTATTCTTTATTTTTAAATAGAATTATTCTTCGGGGGTTACATACAATTTTGGAGAAAAGGAAGTAGCTTAATATGGGATAAAGTTTTTAATGGAACTATTTAGACGACTTCGAGGTTGTTATATTCCCTAGTCCATACAAAAAGAAAACAAAAACATTTCTTAAAAGTGAAGGCAGACTACAAACAACTAAAAAGAATAAAGTAGTTTCACATTCTTAATATGGGCTTTAATTCTTCTACACGAGTACAATAGGTCTTATCATAGAATATGAACTTGTTTTATTATTTTAAGTTATTTCAAATCGGTTTTCCTTTTATTAAAATATATTAAAGAAACTACTAATATATTTAATTTGCATAGCCAACGTAAGGACATTCCTCTTTCACTTTCGTTTTTTCTTGAGTTAATTGACGCAGATGAAGGAAATTGTAGAATAAGTTGATATATCACGAATAAACCATTGAAATGAATTCATCTGATTCCTGATCAAACAGGAAGAATCAAGTCGACCTGTACAGGTGTACAGTGGGATCTAAGACCGTTACGCGTGAAAAATAACCGCTGTATGAATACGATTGATACTATGAAAGGAATTCGATTACTATGCCGTGTACTGACATTAGCGGCATTGTGGGCCGCGACTAGGGAAACGTCGCCCAAACTAGTTTCGAGTCCAAACGGCCGAACACATAGAGGCACATTGTCGAGATTCATGCACAGAACCGGATGCTGCTTCTCCCGGCTAACGATAAAACGGTCACAAGCGCTATAAAACTAGCCCCGCGACGTCTTTTTGTTATCTCTAGCGTTGACCGCCCTTTCAAACTCCACTCGCCGTTCATTCATCGCGTTGAGATGAAAGGAATTCGAATAATCAGCTGATAGAGGAGACGAGTCGCGGCGGCTAACGGTCCATTTTTGATCAATTATCCATCTTAAAGCCGATGCCCTTTCATCTAACGAATTTTTAGACTCGCTTTCATAGAAATGGAAAGCCGACCTGTTTTAATAATAATGAATATACGCGATGTCACACAGGTAAGACTAACCTTCGGAAATATCCGTTGATTTGAAATAGAACTGGAAAGATAGAGGGAGGATGCTGCGATTCGGAGGCCCTTGATGGTATCGCGTTTCGTAAACTGCGCCGATGTCTAATTCTCAATACAATGGGCGTAAAAAACTCACGTGAAATATATGTGTCACAGTGCCAACCCCGGGCGCAGACAATGGACAAAGGAGTCCTCGAGAGCGCGTTTTGCTGCCACAATGCACCCACGCGCTTTTTGTCGCGCATTGTGCGCCACAATCGCAGGAAGATCGATCTCTCGATCGTCCAATAGACGAGACACGTGTGCCGTCGCGTCCTAAAACATGTAAATTGTTGTCTCGAGGTGAAAGTTGAAAGTAAAAGTCGCTCCATCGCATCTGCCGCTGGTGTCGTGTTCTGTTGCGTCGGAAGCGGGGGCGGGTCACTGAAGGGTAGAGGGCGATTGTTCTTCATCTCTACACTACACAATGATACAAAAAGTGGTTCACAAAGAGTCAACAGATAAAAAGGGAATCTCAGCTCGCATTCAGTTTCATTTATACTCGATAATAATCAACTACAAATCGGCCAATCTTTTTCTGACAGTCATTGTTGTCTGTAGTTTGTTGTGAGGTTTCATTAGAATACGTTTGACACTACTTTGTAAAAGTTGTTGGATGTAAATGATTTATTATTTATTGAGTCTTTTATGTTATAGTTCTTTGGAAATATAACACAGTCAGTCAATCTGTTTAATATAAGTATGCGTCAACAAAAATATTATTTTTTGAATATTTCTGAACACGATCTCATTTTGGAATTATAATAAAATGAATAACTATATTTTGAACACGATTGTTGTCACTTGGTGAAATTCAATCGAATACTTGTAGTTGAATTGCAATAATTCTTGGGACTGATATCCCTTACTGATACCATAGGGTGAAACCGGACGACATAATTATTAAAAAAGTCTACACAATAAAAAAATAACAAACGCTAAACTTTTTAAAATTGTAGAATAAGGATGACTAACAAATCGACAAAAGAAACGAGCACACAGTCTAAGTGCTTGATTGTAAGTGGATTCTGTGGTCTATTATTCTTGATTACAAAACGCAGACGCGCTGTCACTCCTGAAGATAAAAATAGAATGCCTCGTTTCTAGTAGAAAGGTCTCCAGTTCCTTACACTAACCTTACGAAACACAGCAGCACTAAGCTGCTACTTTACGCTGGTATTCTGCGAGAGCGTGGTCCTACCCCATCTGTACTACAACTGCAATATAGCTGCAGCGTGGCTCTACTTTGTATAATATAAGAACTATAAACATAAATAGTATTTATTATTTATGTCGATAAAACTATATTGTAAATAGGGTAATTAAAATAGCAGAGTCGTTTGCTCTGGAGGAGTCAAAATCGCGGCATTGTTGGTACGCGCGACATATGGCGTCGGTTGCCGCCGCGGGCCCTCGCCGACCGACAAATTAGTGTTTAAGAGATTGCCATCAATACAAGTACAAAGTGTCCAATCCATTACGAACAAATGGCGTTATTTAGGAGCAGGGCTACCGTAAGGCCGGTACACACGGCCGGAGGTGCCGCTGTCGAACCGCTGCAACCGCCGCTTTCTATTGTTATTTATCGCTTCCCTCCGTAATAGTGTATTTGATGCACAATTATACGAATCATGGTTTACGTTTACATTACAACTCTGCGATTTTAATGCGGTATTATTAGCACATATAATAACTTTGTATAATGGTGCACACATTTTAAAGTCATTTCGAATATTAGATATTTAATCTGTAATAAATTTCTTACATGTTAAATATATACTAGATGAAATTTAAATACAGTAGTTTTATTTCGAAGTGAAATCAGGCAAGTTCCAAAACTGTAAACACCGGAACTAGGATTAGTACCGGGGTTGTGATTAGATAACTGGGTTTGGACTGGCTAAAAACTAGTAATTAAATAATGCTCAACGAACACTGAACCTGTTCCCGTTGCATCACATTAATTATCTACGTAGTGATATTAGATAATTTGTCAATTATTGCAGATGTTCATTTTTTATTTATATGTGTATGTTATAATTGTAAGCTTATTATTCTGTGTGCTGTAGTAAGCATTATTATTGTGGGGTATCAACATAGTTTTCTCATCTGGTTGGGTTCTATAAATATATAATTATAAATGAAAATGAAAAGATAATAATACATAAATATCAATAACATAAACTAAACATAAAAATAAATAAATAAATAAAATCCCAATCAGATGGAGGCCCTCGGCAGGGAAGACCAAACGGCCGAGGGTTAGGGGGAAAGGGAAAGAAACCGGCGGACGATGCCAGCAGTATCTTGGAACACCGCCTTCTGTATTTGAGCCTGGAGCGGACCGCCACGTAGTCCCAGCCGCCTCAGATGACCCGAGAGGCTGACTGGAATTAGCCCGTTCGCAGAGACGACTACAGGAATAATTTCGGTCGGCAGACCACCCCACATGTCGGTCACCTCGTGAGCCTGGTGCAGATATTTTGTTTGCTTATCTGTTTCGGCTTTCACGAGGTTCTCGTCATACGGAATGGTAATGTCGACCAAAAATATCCTTGAATGTGCCCGGTCCATCAGCACAATATCAGGCTTATTCGCAAGAATAATCCTGTCTGTGATGATGGCCCGGTCCCAATAGAGCCTGACGCGATCATTTTCGAGCATGGCTTCCGGCAAGTACTTGTAATGTGGCAATTTCCGATCCACGAGACCGTATTTCAGAGCGAGCTCCTGGTGAAGAATTCTGGCTACTAGGTTGTGCCTGTGCAAGTACTCAGAGTTAGAAAGCGCCGAACAATCGGAGATGACATGCCTAAGTGACTCACCGGGATGGCGACAAGCTCGACAGATGTCGACGGTGCCATCCTTTAGGATGTATCTCCGATAGTTGTTGGTCTTAATAATCTGATCCTGTATTGCACAGACAAAACCCTCGGTTTCTCCGAAGAGATCGCCAAAGCGTAGCCAGTTGTGGGAGGCTACTGTGTCTACGAAAGGCTCATGTAGAGCCTTGTAGAACCTCCCGTGGAGCTCCTTCTCCTTCCATACGGTCTCCCGGTCGGAAATGCTCTGCACTGTCGGGTCTTGCCATTGCTCGTTGGCTAAGGATAGAGGGGTAAGTCCTTTATCACAAGAAATGACGTCCTTATAGAATGGATCATCCAATCTCGCCAGGAAGTAATCACGGAGGCTGCACACTTCGCGATTATGCATGGTGAGCGCGCTCAAGAAGCCACGACCACCATGCTTCCGCGGCAAGTACAGCCTCATTACCGACGATCTCGGATGATGCATCCTATGGGACGTCATGGTAGTGCGGACTTTTCTATCCAGGGCGTTAAGTTCGGTCTGAGTCCACCTGAGTATGCCAAAGGTATACATGAGGACAGGCATGACCCAGCCGTTATATGCGTGTGCCTTATTCACACTGGACAAAAGGCTGTTAAGCACTTTGGTCAAGCGTGCATAAAACGTGTCGCAAACTGACTGTTTCATACCAGCCTCATCGATACCGATGTTCTGTGACATACCCAGGTATCGGTATGTTTCAGGCTCGGAAAGGGTCCTTAAGTTGACGGGCATAGATAAGTCTATGCCCTCAGAGTTAGCAACCCTACCCCTCTCAACATGGAGGACCGCACACTTATCCGTCCCCAGCTCCATTCCAATGGAATTGCTAAATTCACAAGTGATGTTTATCAATTCCATAAGATGGGAGCGACTGGAGGCGAATAACTTGAGGTAATCCATATAGAAAAGGTGGGTCACTTTTGTCCCTCCTTTCCGTAGCTGAAATCCCCTCCCGGAGCCTTCCAGTAAGGTACTGAGAGGGTTCAGAGAGAGGCAGCACCAGATTGGACTCAGACAGTCGCCCTGGAATATACCCCTTCTTATCCTTATGCGGCTTTCCGCAGCCATCATCCGCTCGCCTAGATGACAGAGGATCATACTTCACTGCCCCATACATTACCCGAGGAAGCCTCGAACTGTACAGTCAATCTTGTACAGCTCGAGGACACTCTTTAGCCACGTGTGGGGCACCGAGTCAAATGCCTTTCTGTAGTCCGTCGTAGCGAGAAGTTCCGACGGTTGCGTTTCACCACCTTGCCAATGAACGCGTCAATGAGAAGTGGTTCCTTGGTTCCACAACCGCCGCCCCGACATCCATTTTGAGCGCGGACATCACCTGATTTGATTCCAGGTGACGAGTGATTCTCGCGCTCAAAATGGATGTTAGGGTCTTGTATATGGTCGGCAGACACGTGATGGGGCGGTATTTGCTCGGGTCTGTGGTAACCTGGTCTTTAGGAACCAAATGCGTGATCCCAGTAGTGAAGAGGCTCGGGAGCGACTTCTGGTTGAGAGCCTCTTGGAACTGTCGGGCGAGCACAGTGTGACACACCACAAACCCCTTCAGCCAGTAGTGATGCAGCCCGTCGAGTCCCGGACTTTTCCAGTTTGGGGCCCTACGGACCGACTCAGCTACGTCATCTGGCGTTATAATGACGAGGTCCATGGGCGTTATACTCGCACACTGACTCGCCACAACTTCCGTCCAAGGGCCCTCGCTGTGGTTTATGGGCTCTGACCACAGGCCGCGCCAGAATATTACAGTGTCGGCCTGATTCGGTGCTGGGCCCGTTCCACTTACCATTGGTCGCTCCAACGATTTATAGAGCCTCTTCTGATCACTATAGAAGAGACGATTCTGGTTAAACCGTGTCGACCTCTCGGTATATCGCCGAATCCCCTTTCCCCAAGCAGCGATTCTCTGCTTCAGGTCGTCTATGCGCTCCGTCAGTTTTTGCAATATATCCGGCTGGGACAAACTAACATTTGTCCCAGCAAATGCCATCCTGACGGTGCGCACAATCCTTGGCCTGTTGTTGCCTGACCTGAAGCATATCAGTCTGCCGATGAGGGCCCTAGCCTTTGCGATACGTTCTTCAATTCTTATTCTCCAGGCTGGGATAGCGCTACTTTGTCCAGTAGCGCGTTCAGCCGTGGAAAGTTTGGCGCCAAAAATACGGCACACTGCCAGTGCGGCGCCAAAAAGAATTGAGTCCGTCTCGCAAAGGTCCCGGCTGGCTTCCAAATAGGTCACCAGCATTGGGTTCAGAGCCCTCACGACAGCCCGATGGGCGACTGTTCCATCATCGTTTGAATCAACCACAACTGGGGTATTCACGGCAACATTCACGTTTGCGGGTTGCTCTGCAATTTGTGGCGCCACATCCTCAGCCGTAGCATTTTCATCTGATGAGGGAACAGCCTCACGTCGTAGTCGTTCGAGTTCGGCGACATCAAATATATTTGAGCGCAAGATATATCGAACCCGGTCTGCCAGATTTTGCTCTCAGACGGTTAAAGATGGCTCCAGCTCAGCAAAAAGACGATGTATCCTAGCCCGATACGCCAAACCTCCAATTTCTCCCCCTTTTCGCCCTAAAATACGTCCGCAATGCGTTAGTATTCATTTCGGTTGTCCATCGCATGCGGCGTACTCCACCAGTGGCGGGTGCCGATTGCTGGGCCCGCGAAGACCCTGCCGACACCAAGCCAGCTGGTGGGGATGATGGATGCGAGGGGCTGATGGGTGGTCGTGTAGCACCTGTCGCTCGGCTGGCGGTTCGCATGCTGTAGCGTCCAGCGCCAGCTCCAGACGCGCCCTGGCGACCTCCAGGCAGCGGCCCTTAGCGCGTTTTTGCATATTCCATCATCCATAAAAGTGGGCGTCATTTAACGGGAGACGCCCAGACCAGGCGCCGTTTTATGGTTATTATTATTATTATAACATGACTTTGGCGTCGATCGGTCGTTCTGCAATAAGCTTTAACCTCGCGGCTCCAGCTGAGTTACGATAGGCGCTAATCGAAGATCATTATCGCATTGACTCAATCAGGTGAATGATTAAAAAGGATTTAGTGCGTGTTTTAAAGCGCAACGCGTATTTTCAGTCTCATCGTTTAGTCAGTTCTCAGTTCTCAGTTTTCATATGACATTATATCCGTAGTTGATAAAAATTATAATAACATATTAAATAGCAATTATAATAATTATGACAAGTTATGGACAAAAAAAATCCATTACCCTTTACCTAATTGTAAGTATAAAAGAATATTAAAATAAGAAGATGATTTGAATAAACTTTTGTAAGGTTAGGCCAGAAATTAAAAATTTTATCAGGTGACGATGCACTGACAAATTATTTTTTTTAATTTTATCGATGCTAGTGATTTTAAATCTAATTTTTCGATAGTAATGATTTTAAAATTATGCTGTGAAAAAATTATGTTGCTAAAATTATAGAACGATCGCATAGCAATATTGTACAATACATAAAACTATTCGTATAAAGAGACCGCAATAAAAGCCGTTGGAATCATAGATTCCTAATTTTTGCGAACCAAAGCAAAGCAAAAGCGAAAGGTCATTTACTATTTTGTCCATAAAAAGCCGCGAGAGGGCGCAGCGTTCGTCCCCAATCCAGGAATAACCTTCCATTGTAAAATGTGTCCGATTCGCCGCGCCTATTGTACCGCAGTTTGGAGCCAAAACGTAAATAAAGGCAGATGTTACCACACTCCAAAATATTATAACACAACACCTTTTATCCTATGCGTGGAAAGGAACACATGAAAATCAACCTTGTTCATTAGGTAATGCGCTATATTTTGCAGTAAAATATTTTGGCGGGTAAAACATTTCGTAAGTGAAAGGTGTCACACGTGTAGCGCTCTGTGGTCCGCGCCGCGGCTGTGTGGGTAGTTTTACAAAACCGAAATTGTTGCAGCGAAGTTTAATAAAACTCATATTATAGGCAAGGATGCTAGTGACGGGCGCGGCGAGGCCCACAGCGAGACCAACAACAATCGTTAACATTCGTTAACTTTGATAATTATTATTGAACGTAAATATTTTAAGTTACTATAAAATACTTAAATATATGCACGAACACTTTTAATCACGTTATACCTAAATGCATATATTAAAGAAACTATATAGCACATCTCAAATCAAACAGTTTTTATATTGTGTTAAAATGTATATATGACTAGTCGATCATATTATAGTGCATACATAATTCCAGACTGTAGCTTTTATTTGTTTAGAATTAGGGTAAATGCTGTGGATCATAGATACCTGTATCTATTCTGGATTAATAATCAAAATATAGATACAAATAATTTTTATAGCGTGGTAGTAGTTATAGTTTTAGTTAGAGGCACACTGCAGCTATTGTGGTTGTAGCATGAATGGGTCGGCTCGACCGGGGAAGGATCGCGCTCTCACAGGATACCAGCGTAAAATAGAGCTTAATGCTGATGTGTTTCGTATGGTGAGTGTAGAGAACTGGAGACCCGTTTTACTGGAATCCAGTAATTCCATCTTAGTCCTCAAGTGTGACAACGCATCTGCATTTTGATTATTAAGCTAGGTTAAAAATGTAGATGTCTACGGGCCACAGCATTTACTCAGTATCAGGTGGATTGTGTACTCGTTTGTCATCCTTATACTATAAAAAAGATGCGTTGTAACACCGTGTGTCTAAAATATAATGGATCACTAACAGTAAAAGGTTCCGGTTACTCAGCTTATGAAACACAGCAGCTTTAAGCTACTAGGTATATTACGTTTGTGTTCTGTGAGAGAGTGGTCCTTCTCCGTTAAAGAGCTCGAGCTGCAAACGTAATATGGCTGCAGCGAGATTGTTCTAATTTAAAGGACGTTAGATAAGTTGTAAGTTATTCGTTGTAGAGTTGAAGCACGAACCGGTTGCCTCGGTCGGCGTGCGGTAGCAGCATGATGCTGTCGTTGTGTTTCGGTAAATCTGTGATATCTTTTACTGGTAACGCGGCGTTGTGTCTTATTATAGTTATAAATGATAACAATACTTCTGTATTTTGATTCTTAACCGATTATAGATAAGACTAAATGTAGAAGACAGGAGATGTTTGCTTCTCTAACCCCGTAATACTTCTTTTTGATTATACTATAATTTAAGTGAGCAATTATGTGTACCTATAATTACCCGTATCTCTTTTATATATTTTTTTCAAACTTCGCGTAGAGTTTAGTTTCTTTAGTCCTATATTATAATTAAATAAAGATAAATTTATGATTATAGTAAAATATCTTTCTTCTACAATTATGATATATTACTTACAAACAATTGCGATCTACAGAAATAGATTGCGTCCGGTGTTTAAAATATTGCTTTTAGTATAATATTTCAAAAATAACGAGTTATCAAATAAATCAACAATAACTTACCTATAATTTATTACGGAAAGCAATCTTATTACAAATTATGTTAATAACATATGATAACTTCGCTTTCCATGTTCAGATCTAATAAGCATGCTACATCGCGTCGCGAAGCAATTTTTTATCATGTTTATTAAACCTATAATTCTCGTTTCCCTAGATTAGGTTCGTGTAAGCTCACTTCCGATCGTTCGGGTTTAGTTTATTTCTGTCCATGTGCCGGAATCGGAATTATTTACATATTATCCATTTGATCATAATAAGCTATTGCGATGTCGGGCCATTGTGCACCTAGTAATTATATAAGTAACTTCACATTGTTCAAGTTTTAGTATCATTTGAATACTAGTGGTTTCAAAATAGTGGTTGTTCTCTTAGTAAACCCTTATATTTGCACATGGAATAATGTTTTCAAAATTTAATATATGTAAACAGATCATTCTTACTAAATACTTTGCTTATTTTGCGCTCATAGTCAGTATTTTATTAGCTGCGGTCTTATCGATGGTGCTACTTGATGTGGACGTGAAATGTCATAACTTCAGCAAAACTGTAAAAAGTAAAAGTAAAAGTTGCAGCCTATATAGATCCCACAGCTGGGCACAGGCCTCACCTCATTTCTGAGAGGTTTTTAGGGCAAGGAAGTGTCCGCCGCGCTGCCCCAATGCGTGTTGGCGAACTTTACATGTCTTCGAAATATATTTTTTAGAGCCGCGGTAGCTCAGATGGTTAACGCCTGCTGTAAATATTACAGAACGCGAGTAACCCGGGTTCGATCCCCGCCGGCACCAATGAAATTGTTAATTGCAATTTTAAGTGCTGATTTACCACGTGCTCGGCGGTAAAGGAAAAGATCGTGAGGAAACCTGCATGTCTGAAGAATAAAAGAAAAAAAACTGTAAAGTTTTAATCAAAACAAATGTTCGGAATTTTGTTAAACACACATTAATAAAATTCTTGCTTATATCAATTTTTCAGCACGTATTTGGTATTGTTAGGAATGAGGGTAAAAAATAAAAGAAAATAGGAATAGTAGAGGGTAGAACTGTATCTCCCACTCTTTCTAACAGTATATAGTGTCGCACAGGTGACTAAAAGGGATAAGTCGGTAATTCTACGAGTCTCAGGGTCGTTATTATGCTCTTTGGGGTGATTCTTCTAATGTAGGCAAGGAAGATCATGTTGATGAGAGGTTACGAGTACCCTGTGATACATTGAGATGGTTAGTGTTGTTGTTGCTTTGCATACTTTGGTATTAACATGTAATTACGTCCCTTACGTTACACCAGTGTGTGGTTGTGGCGGAGACATATCACGGTATGCTCGACCTTTATCTGCTGTGTACTGCACGTATAGTGCAGTAACCTGTTTCATTAAACGAAGTTTCATGTAATTATTAATTGCCTAAGCAAGAGAGCAAGTTGAACATCCGCTCTCACACTTTTATTATTTTTAATTATACATAATAGATAAAATAAATAATATTATAAAAATCAGTACAATTACCTTTTTAATAAGTTCGCCCGTAAGACAATACTATAATAGATATATGACTAAGAAAATTGTTCATGTTCTTATTCTAAAAATCGTTAATTGAATATACGAATTACTTTTACGAAATTGCTTAGTGAGCGTATTTCAGCGTTGCGCGCGTGACCTTTTTACAAAAAATTCAAAATGCTCCCGGCTAATGCTAGGTACACAAAATAGTTTAATGATATTATACTTTGCTGGTAATATGCACATCATATTTACTAATTTAATATTAGCTTAACACTTTCAGATTTTAAACAGCTTTCCCAACCCCCCAATTCAATTTAGACGTTTTCAGGGCAAAATGAGTACTCGACATGTGATCTATCATTTAGGGTTTCATCACCACTTACCGGCAGGTGGAATTGTGGTGCAGCACTGGTTTACAATAAATTAACAACGCAATCAGTGAATTTCCTTAATTAAACTTAATTAGTAATTTCAAAAAGCACGAGGATAACAACCAGCATTAATTTTTTATTGAAGAAAGAATTATATCATATATATATATATATATATATA